CAAAATTAGTAAAACATTTAGTTTAGCAGAAATTAAGTTACCTCTAGTAAAATCTTGCATAGTTTATCTTGACTTTCAGTGAATTTTTTTTAATTAAAAGTAGAAAATGAAAAAAAAAAAAAACAATATTTTTTATTTCTGATTGTAAATAATTGTTGCAAAATATTTCTAGTATTTGCTTTGTTAAAATTCATTACAGGGCGAAATGCGTCGGCTAGGATAGGTTCTCCATTTGACTTTATTGTTCATATTGCACTTTTATATATATTTTAGTTATATTTGAATTGTTACACACCCAATTATATATATATATATATATATATATATATATATATATATATATATATATATATATACTGATGCCAAATCAAAACAAGTATTATTAATAACATCGTAATAATAACTAAAACAAATTTAAATTTATATTATATTATATTATATTATATATATATATATATATATATATATATATATATATATATAATACCAATTAAATAATTTGTAGTAATAATTCCAGAGATAGCTCAATGTAAGTAACATAGCAATATAATAATAATAATAATAATAATAATAATAAGTCAAGACAATCTGTAAAAATCCATTTCGGTTATAATTTATTTCTTTAATATATTTATTTAAATATTCAGGTTCTAAAAAGCATTCGTTCTGAATTTGATTATTTAAATATATTTATGAAATAAATTATAACCGATATCTCTCTCTCTCTCTCTCTCTATATATATATATATATATATATATCTGTGTGTGAGTAAAATATATATGATGGTTAATAAGAAGGAAAAACGAAAGGGTGCCAATATAATCTGTAATTTAATTTACTAAATATTAACCATATCACAGAAATTTAGCACGGTGTTCTGAATTTTTGGACACTCCTGTGTCCTTCGATTGAATTATGATAGGGTAGTTGTAACTTAAGTCACCTCGATAGGCATTATATAAAAGTACCCAGACATTCAATTAAAAATAAGAAATAAATGATAAAAATCGCCCTTGATAATGGCAAAAAGAATAGCAGAGATCGCTCTTATATATTATTTTTATAGATACACTTCTTTATGTAAATGCTCTGTTTATAAAAGCAAAAGAAAAACCAAAAACAGAACATTCATTTGATCTGACGTGCAATACCACTCAGCTACAGAGGAAGCGCCTGGCTAGCAAATTTCTAATTATTGACATTATAGATTCCTGTCAGTTGACACATATTTTCTATGAATTTTCTCGGGTATACAGGCTAGGAGATGTAATTAATTCTATTTATTGTAAACAAAGCCTTTACTTAAATAACTGTGTCTATAAAAATACAGTATAAACAGAATATATATATATATATATATATATATATATATATAAAATGAAAGGTTTGGTAATTCATGTGGATAATTCCTAAGAGGATATGATCCAGAGAGCTCAATATAATACCAGAGCAAATATTAATTAAATAATTAAGAAAAGGACAACTTTAAGATTCCATGACTAAAATTTGTTTACAAATTTATAAAAGATTATATTTAATATTTATTCTTATAGATTATAGTCATGGAACCTTAATGTTTCCTTATTATTTATTCTTATAGATTATAGTCATGGAACCTTAATTATATATATATATATATATATATATATATATATATATATATATATATATATTGTGTGTGGGTAAATATGAAAGTGAACATTGAATTCAACCTCAGAGGCGACAGACTGTTTCATGCTAAACGCATTTAGCATGAAACAACCTGTGGGCTCTGAATGTTGGCTTCAAGGTTCAATTTTATATTTACATACGCTCTATCTCTGATATTGAGCACTTTATTTCATAAATATAGCACATAGCACACATTTTAAATTGAGATTGATAGTTGGAGTTATATATATATATATATATATATATATATATATATATATATATATACATACAAAATTCGATTACGAAAAAACTTTATATTTTTTATAAACCTTATACTTATAAACCTTATAGATTTAATACTGGTAGGAGCGTTTATACCAGCCTTCACTGGTCGAGCACGGCTGGAATTCGACTGAGCATCTTTTCTGTATTCAAAAAATCAGTCAACCCATCTGATCATGATATATATATATATATATATATATATATATATATATATATATATATATATATATATATATATATATATATATGAGTGTGTTTGTTGTGGTTACAGTTAATAGTTGTTAACCAGAAATCTTTTACAATAAACGTATAGTCTTCCTTCCATTACTATTTAAAATGGCATGGAGAGAGTGATGCCCTTGAGTGTTGATGAAGACCATACTATTTGGAACATTTTGCACTGGCGCTACAGCATCACAAAGAAGTGTAGCAAATAACAGAACCGGTATCACTTGAAAACCTTCTACAGCAGTAACAACTAAAATGGCTAGCACATGTCGCTCGAAGAGAAGATAATGACATAGTAAATATGTTGACATTCCACACTACTTCCAACAAAAGGTTAGAAAGGAAACGGCTCATCAATACTAGAAAGAGCGATAACAGCTACTGGACTTGAGAAATCTATTTTCCTGAAATATTGTTTTAAGAGAAAGATTTTATAAGTGGAAGAGAAAATAATGACATAATCAAGATATTGACATTCCACACTACTTCAAACAAAAGGTTAGGAAGGAAACGGCCCATTAATACTTGAAAGAACGATAACAGCTACTGGACTTGAGAAACCTAATTTCCTGAAAAATTGTTTAAGAGAAAGATTTTATAAGTGGAAGAGAAAATAATGACATAATCAAGATATTGACATTCCACACTACTTCAAACAAAAGGTTAGGAAGGAAACGGCCCATTAATACTTGAAAGAACGATAACAGCTACTGGACTTGAGAAACCTAATTTCCTGAAAAATTGTTTAAGAGAAAGATTTTATAAGTGGAAGAGAAAATAATGACATAATCAAGATGTTGACATTCCACACTACTTCAATCAAAAGGTTAGGAAGGAAACCCATATGACAAGAGCGATAGCAGTGACTAGACATCAGAAAGGTATTTTTCCGAAAAATTCTTTACAGAGAAATATTTTATAAATTTCAAATGAAATCTGTAGTGACGGCTCAATGTTGAATGTTTCCTTATAAGGAAACGGATAATATTACATTTACGTGCGAAATTCAAAGGAAATCCGCTTCAGATAAGCGCTTAAAGAACCAAATGCAACAATTCCGATCCATTCCATTTAGCACACGCGCGTGCGCGCTCACAGACACGCAAACACACAAAGTCACACACATATATATGAATACAGGAATCTATTATCGTATAAATATGATCATGTATACGGATATGCTATATATTCATAGATGGTCATCTCTCTACACCGGAAATACAATCATAATGTGACGGAGAGATAAAATGCCTGGTGAAATCATGTGGTATTTGGTTATTAATAATTATGTCGTTTCATCAACTGATTAAGGGCCGCTGTTGATGCAGCAGTTGTATAAATCTATATATATGCAGGGTAACTTGACCAAAAACTGCTGCAAAAGCCATGGTCACTGATAGAACTTTTGTGGTGTAGTGAGACGACCACACTCTACACACTTTCCTACCAAGAAATGCTATCAACAACGGAAGTCAGCTAGAAGGTTGCTTCCGTCTGCGAACGTTATTTCCGTTACCAAAGCAAGCGTATATATATATATATATATATATATATATATATATATATATAGATAGATAGATAGATAGATAGATAGATAAGTGTGGAGAATATTGTCATTACAAGAAAATGGTTGAATCGGCCAACACAGTTATAATGACAATATTCTCCACACGACAATAACAACGTTATTTTCAGTTAATAATATGAAAATAGCGTTCTCTACATTCCTCCGTTGCTAAGGACATTCTGTTTTTTTTTATTATTAGTTACTTTTCTTTAAATCCATTTTCATTTTTGCTTTTGAGAAAGTCCACATTTGACGAAACGCGTCAGCAATAACTACAGTTTTCCTATTGTCAGTTATATTTATAAACTCTGAGAAATTTATATATATATATATATATATATATATATATATATATATCTTTACAAGTATTAAGTATAAAAGAAAAGCTTAAAATAATAAAAGTCATAATATAATATATAATAGAGATAATATAAAAAATTATATATATATATATATGTATATATATATATATATATATATATATATATATATTATAAATCAATTGACTTAAAATATGATTTTTTCCTACACAGTTCTAACCATGTTTCAAAAAATGGAAATAAGAACACCGCATTATATATAATACTATTTTCTTTTTATATATATATATATATATATATATATATATATATATATATATATTATAAATTAATTGATTTAAAATATGTTTTTTTTCATACACAGTTCCAACCATGTTTCAAAATAGAAGCTAAAACTAAATTCATGGTTTTTAGCTTCTATTTTTGATAGATGGTTGGAACTGTGTATGAAAAAACATATTTAAAGCAATTAATTTATAATATTAATGCTCTGTAAATTTACATTGAGCACTATTTTGTAAAAATAAAAATATCTATAAGAACACTGGATTTATATCTTACTGTTCTTCTTTTTATTTATATACATATATATATATATATATATATATATATATATATATATATATATATATATATGGTGTTCCAATAACTTGGACTGATTTTAAATGTTTATTAAGTTTAAGTCTAATGATTTTTTTCTTTTTCTTTCAGATTTAACAACTTAAGTCTTTGGCAATTTCAACCATGGACACATTAACAATTAAACAAAAAATTAAAAAAAATGAAATACTATCCGGTAGGGTTTGAAACTGCGTCATCGTTTGAAACCAGAGTTTGAGTCACATTCTATATTCTTACATCAGCTCTGCCACATAGAATGTAACTATCTGTGTATATATCGATATATTTATCATTTTATTCATATCTATCGATCACTTTAAGTCAGTTTATTCATATCTATCTATCTATCTATCTATCTATCTATATATCTATCTATCTATCTATCTAATTCTTTGGAGATCTCTCTCTCTCTCTCTCATTCTCTCTCTCTATCTCTGTCAGTCTGTGTATATCATTCATATCTATCTATCTATCTATCTATCTATCTATCTAATTCTTTACAGATCTCTCTCTCTCTCTCTCTTTTACTCTATATTTATCAATCTTTGTCAGTCTGTCCATATCTATCTATCTATCTATCTATCTAATTCTTTTGAAGATCTCTCTCTCTCTCTCTTTTTACTCTATATTTATCAATCTTTGTCAGTCTGTCCATATCTATCTATCTATCTATCTATCTATCTATCTATCTATCTATCTATCTAATTCTTTACAGATCTCTCTCTTTCTCTCTCTCTCTGAAAGGTTGTTTATATCTATCTATCTATCTATCTATCTATCTATCTATCTAATTCTTTACATATATATATATATATATATATATATATATATATATATATATAAAACCATGCGTCAGTCAAGAATCAAATCACCCTCTTAACATTCTAGATAATTTACATAAATCAGTGCATGTTAGATTATCTACCATCTCCAGCAATAAGGAAATATTTGATAATAAAACTAAATATAAAAATTTTAGAACAAAACAATCCTAAAGTAAATTTATTTACACTATTAATATTGTTCGGGCTATTGTCCTCATCTTTGTCGCCATATTCATTACAACGTTGTACACTCCGGCCTTCTTCAGGTGGTTGGAATGTCGAACTGACCTCTTTTTTTCGCTCGCTATGGTAGACTATTCTAGTTCCACGTGCCATGTCTAATGGATGTTAGTTATCAGTTATCTCCTGCTAATTCACCTCTCTAAATTCTCCACTCGAACTCACAACCTTTTGGTTCCTGTCACTGGATTTAACCAACACCTTTATCCACTGCGCCATGTGTTCTTAAGGGCATCTGCGTATGAATTTCTGGGACTTAATGTCTTCAGCCACCTCCTATACCAATGCTCATATTGCAACTTTGCTGTTATCATTGCATTTTTTTAAAAATTATTTATTTATTTTATTTATTTACTTTAAATTTCAAATATTTAGAAAAAAGTAAAAAAAAAAGTAAAAAATAAACAGAAACACATGATATAGTTTAATCCCCATTTGAATCGTAATGTTCAAACGGATATCGGAAGAATTTTCTTAAATCTAATCCATAAGCATTTTAACCATTCACTAATAATAAAAAATAGTTTTAACAAAAATATCAAGATCAACGTTATCAGCGTTAATAATATAGATAAAGTTATATCCCATCATAACAACATTATATTAAACAAACATATTTCCAGCAATGATAACGTGGTTTTTTCGAAAACAAATGCAACTTCCAAAAATATTTGTCCCTTAAACGGTCAATGTATGGCTGATAATATTGTATACCGAGCGAGCATACATTCCGGTAACAATGTTAAATTTGATTTTGGTTCCACTACTTACCATGACCATGTCGATATACACTTTTCTAAGCATAGCTTAGTTGTGGCACAAAGCTGAAAGTATGGAGCACTCGTTAAAAACCGAAATCATTACTCAGCAGTTAATCTAGTATGATTTAAAAAAAAAAAATTTAAAAGCACATTTTTCACATTTTCGATTGTAACTATTTTCTGTAATGAGACGATACTTTTTCCGAATGTAAGATTATTAAATCTTTTAGTAGCTAATCTTCTATATAATAAATGCAAATATCAGTGTATCACTGTGTCCCAATTTTTCAGTTTTACTCCTGGAGACCGTAACCTAACATATCATACCATTTTGGAATCACACCGACTCCGTGAGCAAATTACAAACATTCCGGGTTGGATATGGATCCGCAATACGGAAAGTTTGGATTCCCATACCATTATTGTGATGGTTTTCGGGGATTTTTACGATAAATTTATGGAATAAGTGGGAATAATCGAAAGTAATTACGAAATCCAGCGAAAGTCACCCATGAAATAAAAATAAGTGTTTGTACGGAAAGTAAAGACCTACGCACATCAAATTGTCTTTAAATTAAATTGCGGCAGAAGAAATTATGTCATTCGCAGACAGTACTGTTTCTCTGTATCACAGTTCCTCATTGCGACTAGACAACCGAATGCCTCAAGCCCGGATCAAAACCCAACAGATTGGGTGTTAGTCAGATTTCTACCACGGAGCTATCTTCACTCGACAGAATGAATCAGCCAAATCTAGCGTATTATTTTTATAAACGTAAACAAACGCCAAGCAGCCAAAGTGCTCCATTCATTTTACTGAAGAGTTTAAAACAACGACGGTGACGAGAAGGCTTATGTTTTAATTGAACGTTCATAATTCAATTTCATAATATTTGAAGGTACACACATGTCCACATTTCACAGTTAAGACAGATATAAGTTGAAATTAAATCAGTGCTTCATCAAGATAGTAATAAGCAAAAATTTTAAATTCTGGAAGCTCTTTATATCAGAGAAATTGCGGCCAAAATTAAATAAAATCAACTATGTGTATAGCAAGAAATTTCTTAAATGTTTCTAACAGCAAAGTGTTATATATATATATATATATATATATATATATATATATATATATATATATATATATATAATAAAAACTAAATTAAAATACTGCAATTAAAAGATATTTTAAAATCATATCAGTTACCTCCCTTGCATAGAGGGAAAAAAAATTTGAACTTACGGTGTTAACGCATAACACATCCATAGAAAATGGACTCGGATGAGATTGAATGTACTTGAGAAAATAAAAATAATTTAAAAAGAAATTTTGGCATTTTTCTTAATCAATTTTCTACAGCCACCAACCAAAAAATTAATTCAGGGACTTGAAAGGATTAAAACTAAAATAAATAGGCATAATACGTATAAATTATTTAACTAAACACGCTTGAATGAAAATAGCTGCTTAAATATATATATATATATATATGTGTATGTGTGTGTGTGTGTGTGTGTGTGTGTGTGTGTGTGTGTGTGTGTGTGTGTATCAATTTCAAATATGTATGTAACTGTGGATTAATTTTATATTCTTGCGTGTATAAGGCCGAAAGAAAGCTCTGCCATATCAATGATAATTTTTCTGGAGCTTCAAAAGGAACTAGAATTTTACCAGGGGAAATATATAATTTTTATGAGTAATTAAGTCCATGCACAATTTAGAACATCTTGCATTAGACACACATTTAAAAAAAAATGTTTATTACACTGCAAAACTCTACCTAAATTGACTGCTACGTCAGAATACATTCGGTTATCTCCCCTTTCGCAGCGAAAGCAAAGCGCCATCTGTAAATAAAGCGATTGCGCAGGCGCATAAGATTCCAATCTTCCGCTCGACGCAACGAGCCGCGCCAGAACATTTCACGCAATAGTTAGTATTGTCAACACAAGAGGCAAACAAAACATTTCTCAAAAGCATCCACAGGGCCATAAAAAAAAGATTTATGATATCAATAATATCGATATTTAAGCACTTTTTTATATAATTGTCATGGAGAGATCGTTGTGGACTGAGAATCGTAAAATAAAATTAAAACGCTCAGCCCAAGTTATATATTGACATCTTCTGCTGTAAAATTGGGTGGGAATCAACATTACTCTCAGTCAATTCCACAAAAGACACGCCCTGCCACAATATATATATATATATATATATATATATATATATATATATATATATATATATATATATATATATATATATAATAGGTTTCATGCTTTTTTACCATATTTTTTCTCATGTTTTTAGCATTTGAAACATTATTTGAGTAAACGCTCTGTGTAATTTTCGAGCAGAATCTTATTTTCATCTGTCAGCTTGAAAATTCGATAAATTTTATTTGTATTATGACCGGGGACGCATTTTCCTTTAATAAGATTATTAAAGGCCGGTAAAAGAAAAGAAAATCCTGTTTAAAAAATATAAATGGAACGTTTATATATATATATATATATATATATATATATATATATATATATATATATATATATATATATATATATAACTAAAATGTCTTATATATATAAGACAACTTAAATATATAAGACAACTGAAATGTTGCAAATTAAAAAGATAATAATGTTTTTTTAAATAAGCATTTATTTATATTTGATATTTCAGATCGACCTCGATATATATATATATACACACACACACACACACACACACACACTTATTTATTTATTTATATTTTTTTCTCTGTTTAAAATAAACAGTATTAACAAACTGAACGTCCGAGAAATTTCATAGAAAATATGCGTCCTCCGATAGGAATCGAACCTGTATCCACCACAAAACCGGCATATACCCTGACGTGATCTACTAGTTAGCTACAGCGAAAACAAGCAATCCCCTGGGTCGAATTACTGCTTTTAACCAGATGCTTTCTCCATAGCTAAATGGTATAGCCCGTCAGGCCATATGACAAATCCGTGTAGGATACAGGTTCGATTCCTGACGGAGGACAAATATTTTCTATTAATTTTCTCTGATACTCAGGCAGCTAAATGTTGCTGATACTATTTATTTTAAACAGAGCATTTATTAAATATTTGTGTATATAATAACGTATAAACAATATATATATATATATATATATATATATATATATATATATATATATATATATATATATATATATATATATATATATATATATATTTCATTGAATATATATAAAAACTGAATTAGATCTCATTTAAATATTCATGGAGACCTACCGGACACTATTGGTAATATACTTGTTGACAACACTAATATAATAGCATCATCTACATGCAAAAAAAGGATAAAATTATTGGAAGCTTTATTAATAAAAACAAAAACACCAACACTTAATAATATTAAACATTTTATAAAACATACATACAACAAACAATTTCTTATTTTAACAGTTAAAATATTTAATCCTTGAAAATGGCTAAATGTATAGCCGAAAGCGCTCGGATAAAAAGAACATTCGGACAGTTTTTTTATAATTTATCATCTGAAAAGAAAAAAATATTAGATCGCATGAGAAATTGTATAAAAAACTAAATAAAAACACCTTGTCTGTCGTTTTCAATGAAATGTGCATGAAAGAAGGATTGCTGCCTAAATACACAATAATATATATATATATATATATATATATATATATATATATATATATTTGTTGATTAATTTTTGTTTCTTCTTAGGGCAAGATCTTTGCAAGAAAACAGATTCCTAATTTTCTTTTACGAAATTTGCTATACTTCCGTATTCGTTCATATTCTCCTTAATAGACTATTAGAATCATATATCTAATATCCATATCTTCGTCATATATATATATAAAGACATTTTTATGTTTGTACATTCTTTTTATAGATACAAATTAAGTAAATGCTCTGTTTTATAATAAACAGTATTAATAACATTTACCGGCCTGAATGTCCGAGAAATTTTCATAGAAAATATTCGTTCTCCGATAGGAATCGAACCTGTACCCTATACGGAACCGTCATTTAGCCTGACATGCCTTAACCGATCAAGCCACGATTGCTTTTAAACTTCATACTTCCATGAATCTCTCACGTACATTCATATCTGCTCAAAGCGTATCCAAATGTAAACAAATGACGTCACATATGAAATGGACAAAGTCCGACAATTATTTTAAGACATTTTTATGTTTAACGTTCTTTTTATAGATACAAGTATTTAAGTAAATGCTCTGTTTATAATAAACAGTATTAAACAACATTTACCGGCCTGAATGTCCGAGAAATTTTCATGGAAAATATTCATCCTCCGACAGGAATCGAACTTGTATCCTATACGGAAAAGTCATTTATATATATATATATATATATGTTCATTTATATATATATATATGTTTAAAATTAATGGAATTTATTCTTCAATTCGACATATTTTATTACAGCCAACGCTATTTTCAGCAGATACCCGTATATGAGTAGACTATCTGTATGTATCTGTATGTAATAAAAGAAAATGTGGGCGTGTTCGAATCTTGCCAGAGGCACATATATATATATATATATATATATATATATATATATATATATATATATATATATATATATATATATCTATATATAGGTCGTAAGAGTTTTTAGTGCCAAAATTACTAATGCTTCTTTTTTTTTGGTGGAAGGCATTTTTAGGCAGGCATGTTTGTGTCATAAAGTGCTCGATATTAATAGGTGAGGATAGATCGTTAATAGAATTAATTTGGAGAAACTTGTCACTTAATTGAGTGGTGTTATTTCAGTCATGCTGACTTCGAGGTTTCGTGAGCGCTTTGTATGGGGATAAAGATAAAAACAGATAACACAACATCCATTAAGGGAAAAAACAAATAACACTCCCACACAAAGATTACA